CGTCCTCAGACACAAGGGATGGATGAAGACTGTCACACTGATCAAATTCAGCTACTGTCGCATAGCATCAATGGAACCTCATAGACAGCTGCCTGGAGCTGGGGATATAGATCTTCCATACAGCTCCCTCCTGGAAAACATATTAACAAACTTGGATTTAGTCAGACACTGCGAATCTGTCATGCTGTCGATAAGTGTTATTGTAAAATGTTTGACCTATACGAGAACTATAAGACTGCGGAATCAATAATGCATGTGTAGATTATGGTGAGAAAGGCCACTGATTCACAGAGTTCTGTTTCAATGATCGCCGTAGCATCTGTAGTCGCATGCCAGTAGGCTTGGAAAAATGACTGAGATTGAGATACATCAAGAGGGATCCGTAAGACGAATCTTTTTTCAAAACCACGTAGAAACCTTCAAAGACACACTGCGAAGACTACATCGCTGAATTAGAATCAGCTTTGGACACTGCATAGCTTTGGATCAAAAAGTAATTTTGTTACTGAAAACCGAGATCATAGGAAAACCTCCTTATTCCCGCGTTGAGATGAATAGACGACATAGAAAATGAAAAAAATAACAAAGAGTCATTGTTATGTCAAAAAGATAAGGTACCCACGAGAGCCTATCGGCACGTAAGATACCTATGGTTTTGACAGTATCTATGAGAACAGCAGGTTTACAGCCACGCTCGTGTTACGTCATTTTCAATAATTGGAATAATTCAAATATTTTTTTGTTTGCAACTCTTGACTTTCTATTTGGAAATCAGAGTTAAGAAATATTCCCACCGTCAGAGGAGATAGCATGAAACACAGGTTAGAGAACTTCATCGGACATATTCCTTCATTACGCGATATCATTCGTCACATATCACCCAAATGTGCAGTACGTTTTCCTCAAGAATAATCATCCTGCATCTGATTGATAAATCATCACAAATATAATGGTAGCCTATTCGATTAGGTGTATGAAACTGTGGTCATCATACGTACTGATGGCATGTAATTGAAAAAAAGGACAGTTCACAAAGCAAAACTGCGTTTCTTGAATATGCTGTACGCTGCGATGTCCAATAAACCAGTAAAACGCGCCTGACTTTTGAGATCCATGTATTTGACAAAACAGGAAATTTTCATTGCAACTATTCTAACTTCCTCATATGTGAACTATGCATGGACTCCTACTGAATGTGCCGGTTTTTGACGCCTTATGCATTTTTGTGGAGATTTATTAGATTTATTGCTTGAATGGCATTCTCAATGAACACATATTTCATCACACAATCCAAACTCATATCACAAAAGCAAACATATTTGGCACCGAACGAGATCAGAGGGCATTAAAAACAAAATATGGTGTCATTTTCTGCAATTAAGAAGAATAAAATAAAAGATAAGATAAACACAACACAGAGAATAAAGAACAGGAAAACAGAAGTACGAATAAAATAAAAAGAAATCAGTTTCACTGAGCAATGTCACTCGGCATTGTTTAAGATTATATACATTTTTGATAAAAACTCTGAAAGCGGTATAAAAGACATTTGAAAACCTCTATAAACAGCAATTTCCTAAGCACACTGTGAGCAAAAATTTTCAAAGGCTCCCTGCATATTTCTTCTCAAGTGAATACTGGTATCGCTATTACTTCTTGCAAGAATACTGAATACAACACATTTTATATTTCAGTTGGAATATGAGCTTGACTTTGCGCGAACGTTGCAAAGAAACTGAGCCGGAAGAAGAGATATCAAATCGCTTAGCCAAACAGGCTAGTTGCAGGCACATGTATTTTAAATAACAAAATACATTACACATATCTTAACCTTCCACGACCACTTTACCATTCAGGTCTCAGAGGCATACACGCCAGACAGTGCTTCCAACGCTACAGATCCTGTGCTAGAGTCTGAGAGTCTGAGCTGCGGCAGAAGACAACTGGAGTCTGAATCAGACTTCTTCCATATATTTACACCAGGTTAATTAATCTTGGCCGTCACCTGTGCCTTCTGTCGGTCGGTTGGGAAAGACACATTTGCTTAGTCTTCCTTTCTGGAGGCATTCGCAACACATGCCCAAGCCATCCCAGCTGTGACTTCTCAATCTGGAGAAGCAGCGGATGTACGCCAAGGATATTTCAGATGTCTGTATTCCTGGATATGTCGAGATGCGGCTCAGAAAGCCCATTTCAGCATCTTGTACCCGGGATCGAAGCATTTCAATCATGGTCCACGACTCATGACCGTAGGTAAGAATGGGGATAAAGATCGACTGGAATACTGAAAGCATAGTTTTCTGACTGAGCTCTGCTTTAGTCATAATGGATCGGGCTAGTTCACGCAGAATGCCACTGGCTGCTTCAATCCGCCGGTTGATCGCTTCCTCGAATTTCTCATCATCAGCAAACACGACCATGAGCATATCAACTCCCCAGTTTATCCGAAGGGTAACGGACAGGAGAACGAATACTAAACTTTCAGTGTTAGATAAGTGCACACGCATGACGGCCACATCACATTCGGCTATGAACCCTCCAAAAGAGCACAGCAGATCAGTTACAGAAGATGTCAACAAAACAAGGTTGTCCGCAGACAACAACCTTCTCGTCTCGACATCTCATAAGCAGACATGCTCATCCCTCTGGTCGCATATGACTATTCTATCCATGTACAACACAAACACGAGAAGAGACAGAACGCAAGCTTGGCGCAGACCAGTGCCGACGGTAAAAGTATCCTACCTAAAGACATTCATTCCGACGCAACACCTGCTATTAACATATAGTGATTCGATGGCCCGTAGCAACTGGCCATCGATTCCATATGTTCTCAGGCATGCCCACAGAAAGTTGCATGCCATAGGCTTTCTCTAGATCAACAAAGAACATACGTACCGTAATGGACGAACTCCAACGATTTCAATTTGGCGCACAGCGAATATCTGATTAGATCCGCTTCGGCCTGGAAGCCACACTGCTCTTCTTGTATCTTGGAGCGAGCTATTCCGTGGCGCCTCCATTGTATCACCCTTGAGTAGAATTCGCACGGGAGGCTCAATAAGGTAATGGCCCGATAATTAGAGCACTCCCTGACGTCTCCTTTTCTGAAAAGGAGCACTACAACCCCCTTCTCCAGTCCGCTGGTGTCTTCCCCGTAGCTACTGCAATTCGAAATTCCTTGTAGGCCTATTGCTTTGAGCATTTCAATACGGATTTTATCCATTCCATCAGCCTTCCTCTTTCAAGCTTTACACAGTGTGTGTGATTTCATCTACAGAATTAGTAATATCCGTTCGCTGCCACTTTACATGCGCGTCTTCAGAGGTTGTTCGTGGTTAAGGAGTTCCTCAAAGTACTCTTTCCATTGCCCGAGACTGTCTTCATCTTCGGTATGAAGGTGTTCAGACGTGTCCTTCAAGACTCCCAGACTGCCCTTCTTTTCATCTCGTTGCCAGCAGATGGTCTGCCAGAATACCTTGTTCGCCGTGGGGAAATTCGACTCCAACACCTCACCAACTTCTCCCAGGAATCAGCCTTGGCTTTTGCCACTGCTGTGGCTGCCGTCTTGCGTGCCTCGACATATCGCAGGCGACTAGAAGGCTCCTTGTTTCCAAGCCACTTCTTGAACGTTGCTTTCTTCTCTTTAACTGACAGTTGTATCTCTCGCTCCACCATGAAGATCTTTTCTGATCCCCAGGCGGCAGGCCAACCCGTTTATATCCGCAGCATCCGGCGGCAACCTTGAGTATGCCGCTCTTAAAGAGCTGCCACTCGGATTCAACATCACTTGGATCTGTTCAAATCGTCGTGCGATGTTGTTTGCAAATTTCGCTCTCGTATCCACCGAAGATAATGTTTCCCATTTGATTCTCCGGTTGCTTCTGCCACCAGATCTTCGTATGGTACTCCATTTCTTACAGTGCAGCGTGCCAACAACAAGGTGATGATCGGTTGATAGCCCTGCGCCTCTGTTAACGCGAGCATCCATTACTGAACGTCTTAAGTCGATGATACGATTATCAAATCGGTCATCATCTTCTGTGCACAAGCTTTCCGGTACCAGAAATAGTGATGCACTCTTCGATGACTGAAGGTGTTCATAATGGTCATTCCGTTGTTTGCACAAAACCGCAACAACTTCACGCCGTTATTGTTGAGGTCGCTAGAGCCGGTTTTTTCCAATCACGCCGTTCCACTTTTCAGCGTCTACTCCAACATGCACATTAAAATCGCCGATGAATATGAGAGACTCTGTATTCGGCACATGGGACAGAGCACACTGCACCTCCTCAAGGAAAGTTTGATACTCTCCCTCCAATTTGGGTGCACAGATCTGTACCAAAGTCATCACTTTAGTCTGTTGTACCCCTGGAGGATTGCCATGCTTACTCTGATAGGCTTCAATTCAATGATTCTATCAGTCAGGTTCTGTTCTACCAGAACTCCAACACCGACCTGGGCACGCTTGATGATATCGACACCTGAGTAGAATAGCTTCCATCTTCAGAGGTTCAGGATTCAACAGCCTTGGCGCTTCGTTCACGAGAGTCCAACAATGTCGAGTTGGTACTTTATGGATCATCACCTACTCTTGTTCTTTTCC